ATCTCACCCTCATCAAATAAGTGTGTTGCCTAAACCTAACAAAGTAGTTTCAGTCTTCAGAAAACATTTGTTGGACGAAAACTTGTCGGCTAAAAAAATATCATTAAAACTGATAGTAATCTCATTTCAAATTGAATGGTGGTTGTTGCAATGGATTTTGTCAGCCATCAATCTTCAGGCCAGGACTCATCTGCTTTCCTTGCTGCGTCTCAACCAAAACTAAAAACCATTATGTTTTCCCTCAGCATCTCCACTATCATCTCTGGCTGCATTGGTGAATGTCCACAGTAGGCTCCATCTGTCACTTTCTATTTCTAAACCAGCCCAGGCATGGCATGGCATGCATCCCCCTGACTGGACCTCATGGTTGTGAATGCCAAGAGTCATGTCAAAAGTACATCTGTTTTTACCTCGGTTTTTACTGATGATTTGATTGCACAGCAGACGTCTACTCCTGCGCTCAGGACTTCAGGATGTTGCCGGTGGGAAACAAAATAAAAGCAACCGAGACAGACAGAGAGTGAAGGAAAAGGCGGGACACAGATAACAATGTTTAGATGTGGGGAAGTGAAGTAGACCAGGGAGAGGGAGTAGAGCTAAGGACTCAACTCTCCGCTGACAACAGGCCCCCCAACATGGCAACCCTCCAGCCTAATCTTGTTCAAATCTCTCCCCGCCTGATGCCATCCAGAGAGAGAGGAAGGGGAGACAGAGGAAAGGATGGACAAGAGAAAGAAAAGAGGGAGAGGCAACCAGTGAGAGTATTTGGGACGGTGTCTCATGAAAGTAAGAGCAGCGAGGAAGGGAAGCTTAGGGGAGGGGTGGGAGAGGAATTAAGGGGACTCTCAGTTCAAAAGGGCTCCCAAGAGCCGGCTCTTAAGCCCATGGCGCGAGGCTAACCGCAGAAACCAGCGGAGGGGGGGGGCTGGGCTGAGACGTGGTGTCAGAGCCAGAGGAGAACGATATGGCTGTGTGGAGGAGATGGAAAGAGCAAGTGGCTTTGTTTCAGAGAGGGAGAAGCTACTTTAACACAGCAGGACTAGTTTCCTGTTAGTCTTCAGCTCGGAGCTCTTGAATCTTGGTCCACAGCTCATTAGAGTCCACTCTCTGCGGTGTTTACATCCGTGTAAGTCTCACTTCTGTTCGACTTTTTTTCAGCATTTGTCACTTGATCCATTTCATTTTGCGAGCGGTTACTAACCCTTGAAGCAGTGTCTCTGGTGTGTGTGTTGGTGTGTGTGTGTGTGTGTGTTTGCCCACACTGTACACTGCCTTGGCTCTAATGAGGAGCTAATTAACCGGGTGTTCCCCCCGGTGCCCTGAGCAGGTGGCTGGAGCAGCCAGGCGTAACTCAGCCCAAACACACACACACACACCGGCACACACACTTACACACACTTACACACACACACATCATGGCAGGATCCCATATAGCAGAGTCTGTTTGGCCAGCCGGAGAAGGAACCCAAGGGGGCTGCAGCAGGTCTGCACTACAGGCCTGGGCCAAGAGGGGAGAGGTGATGGTGGGAGAGCAGTCCTCCAATTTTCAAGGACCAATTTTAGCCATGGGATTTGGGTTTTGCACAGGCTTCCAAAATCAATTGGCTGTGCTTACTGGCTTGGCTTTGGTGAAGCCGAAGGGAAAATAAGGTTAGATTTATCCCTGAAATATGAAGAGGACGAGTGAGGCGAGGCCCTCCACAAACACACTTGATGAGCATGAGTCTCAGTCTTTACGGGCCAACTTGTCACAGCACACATGCCACACCAGACCAAGAGCTTGTTCAGAGCATTATTACTGTACGTGTTGAGGCACCTGTAATAAAGGCTGAAATGTAACAGTTATTTGTTCTTCTGCCAGTCGACCTGAAATATACCTATTTGTGCATGTGTTTAAAAAAGTAAGCTCAACTTAGATCACAAACTGAAGATATTGGATAAAAACAAAACATTTACTCTTTTGGCACGATTCATTGTGATGACAAAGTGGTGCAACTATTCTCCACTAATATTTTCCTAGGGGCTTTTTACTCCTTTGCCTCGATTCTTCTCTTTGTTGGAGCATCTCTCTGTTCGCCAAGCTCGTAGCTTGTGTTTGTTGTTTGATTTCCACGACAACACGAGGAACCAGATTTTCGCATCCTTGAATTGGACACTGACCCATAGAGGAGCCACGCTTCACTGGAGGATCTCAGTTTCTTTGCTGACTTTCCACCACCGACAGAAAGCAGAACAACAAAAAAGTGTCTGCTTTTTCCTTCTGACAGATATGAGTTAGTGAGGGATTTTTGCGTAGCACGTAGCGCTGCTGCGGTGGAGAGGGACGGCAGGTTGGGGAGAAAGTGGGGTCTCAGAGAGAGTGTGTGTGTGTGTGTGTGTGTGTGTGTGTGTGTGTGTGTGTGTGTGTGTGTGTGTGTGTGTGTGTGTGTGTGTGTGTGTGTGAGACACTTCAAAACAAACCCATAAACATTCCAGGATCCTTGGGCAGCTGCAGCTCCAAGCTGAAGTGAAGTCCACAAAGCATGAAAACCATACAAACATACAAACACCTAATTGAATGCTTTTTGCCTGATTGTTTTTTCAAAGCAATTACCTTTTTGGACTTCAATTTCATTCACCTTTTTTCCAATGAACTACCATTCCCTCCTTCTCCGTCACAACTGTCACAAAAGGTGTTAAAGCCATCACTGCCACACATGCTAAATCATTCAATTGGAGCTTTCTTTACATTCTCCACGCTTCCACATATCCTCTCCTACTTCAGACTGTGTCGGCCGATCTTGTTGCACAGCTGTGAGTCGAGAAGATGCCATCAGAGGTACCGTCGGTGCTCCAGCCGGGGAAAGAATGTGATCCGTGGCTTTCATGTGCTGCTACAAGGTGTTAATGGTCACAAGTGCTCACAGCTGTGTGTGTGTTTGAGACGCTTGATCATAATCACAGTCCCCCACCTTGTTCTCCCCACCAACAGCCCAGACACTCACCGGAGCGGGTGTGTTTTTTGTCACATTGCCTTTAGAAGAAGTCCGACAGGCTGTTTAGTTCACACAGATAATCATGAATTTGGTGGTTTTATTAAAGCTTAAACACGGACCATATCACTTAAGATAAAAAAAAAGCTTTGTGCAACTTGCAAGCTGCCCTCTGTATCTCCTTTGGACAATTCCCCAAGGTCAAAGGTCAATCCACATCTTGAGCCTACGAGATCTTGAGAGCGCACCAGAGCAGCAGCAGTGTCTCTACACAAACAGCGCTGCCTCAATATTGATCCATCGAGAAGCAGCATTTCATTAACTGCAGAATTCCATACAAATTGGGCCGCGTAATAACCAGATGGAATTGGGAAACAGTCTGGGAATGTGCTCCCCCTTTTTTTCCAGGGTCTGCGACCAGGGAAAACTGGGCCTCTTTCCCAATCTGGTGCCAGGCTTCCCCTTCAGTTTGGATGGAGGTGCATAGCCTTCACTGCTCACAAATCACATGTATCCTATCCAAGTCATTGTCCTTATCTGAAAGAGCCACGACTGTCATTACACGTGATATTTGATCATCTAGAGGAGCTCATTTAACATTATACACATCATTGAGCTCAGTGTAACTGCTGCACTGACCTTGGCTGCAGCAGCAGTGTCAGCTAGGGATGATGAGACTTTAAAATGATGTGTTCACTTATATTTGTTGCATTTTCACACATGCTCCAAACTCACACACGGAAAGGAGACAGAAAAGTATCCAAAGGATGTCAGAATTTAAAATATGTCAATGATTTTTGATTAGTCTGGCAATTATTTAAGTTTAACGAGATATATTAAACTGAGAAAAGCAGTAAATCTTCATTTTTGTGAGGCTTAACCAACTTTCCCGAACCTTTTTGCATTCAAAATTACTTTAAAGAAATTTAATTTTAATTACTTTTACTTTATATTCTCAAAACCTATCATTGCTGCTCTTGTTTTCTCAGTTTTAGATTCATTTCTGTCTTTTCACTAGTCACTGTAATGCACGCAAAGCCACTCGCATTAAGAGCCTCCTATTACTTCAGACAGTCTGTCTTCACTTATTCTCCATTATTGTGTTTTTATTCTCTTCAAAACATCCATTGTTTCTGCATTTTTCCACAATCCGTTCCCACCAGAATAATTAATATCACCTTCTGTTGTGATGCCCTAATAATCCTTGTTTGCCATAACTGTTGACATTTCTAGTCAAACATCTCTGCTGTTGTTTACTTCTTCCTAATTTATCTGCGGATCACTTTGAACCGGAGCTTAGCCTCGTCTTTGAAGCCAAGTCTTCATGTCTCAGGTCTGACTCTGATTTAGCAGCAGAGGGTATGGATCAAACTCTGTTACACCAACAAGAAGGCAAGGCTTCTCATTATGCTGCTCAAATGCAAACCCCACATGTAGAGGACTGTCGGAGCTGGTGAACGAGGCCTAATGTGGAGGAAATAATGGAAAGACTGGTGAAGTGAAAAGACATAAAGGAATCAGCTGGATTTCAAGTGGAACTGCGAGGAACTTTGAAAAGATATTACCTCACTTCTTATGGCCCATATATTGCAACTCGCCTCATTTAGAAGACAGCTAGCTCTGGCCCACTTCTTTATCTGAGAACTTCTAGCTTTTAATAGATCTTAGGAGCCTTTACCCATCAGTGATTCATGAAATTGATGTCTCTCTTTGCAGTGATTAATACCTAATGGACGGAGAAAAGCTGAATTCATTAATTATGAAATGGAGAAAATGAGCTCTGCAAATATCACTTTTGATTGATGAGCTCTTGAATAGCAGCCAAGCACACAGCCGCAGTGTGGATTATAAAACACTCGCTGTTACTGGAAAGTCTCCGCCAGCTCTCTTGGTGATATACACGGAAGTGAGCACAAGTTAAACTGCAATGCACGCTCCATGGGAACATTTCCTCTAACTTTGAAGATACTTTTACCCACGTTTGCTGATGTTATCACATTACTGACAGCATTCTTCTTCCCTCTGCAGCGTGCAACTGCAACCTCCACGCTCGGCGCTGTCGGTTCAACATGGAGCTGTACAAGCTGTCGGGGAGGAAGAGCGGCGGGGTCTGCATGAACTGCCGCCACAACACCGCAGGCCGCCACTGCCACTACTGCAAGGAGGGCTTCTACAGAGACATGGCCCGACCCATCACCCACCGACGGGCCTGCAAAGGTAAAGTCCAACAAAAAACTGTTGTAGAATGCATACTAGTTAAAGGTCCCCTATTTTACTGTTTTTCATTCAGGTCTCAGATATATACAAAACATGTGTCTGAAGCGTTTGGTTCGAAACACCAAGGTGACACTCCCAACGCCCCTCTGCGAGATATTTGGTTAAAAAGAACACAATGGTGCTCTAGGAGGATATGCTGGTGATAAGGAGGGGGGGGGGTTACCTTGGTTGGTGATTGGCTAATGGTTACACAAGCCATCAAATCGTTATGACATCATAAAGTGGCCAAAATCTGATCAGCTCATTTTCAGATAGGTTTTTATATAAATGGATCAGGGCAAAAAGTGAGTGAAAATTTGTTCCCGAAACGTTCAGAATCGGTTTACACAGAGGGGACACATGTTTAGTTTAGTTTATTTATTTTTTTCGAGCGTGTAAAACCAAAGAAAATACAAATGAAACAAAAGATGATACATACAGTACATGATACAGTACTATACAAATGAATGCAATAACAAAACGAAATATTTAATTAATAATTGAATAATCTGTAGTATCATACAAGGGGTCGGAAGAAGTTTACACTTATTTAATCCGACCCCTTCTCCCTTTCTTTTTTTTCTTTTTTTTTTTACATCTTAATATATGTTAACATACAATATCAATGTATACTTATAATCTTGAATAATTTATATAATCATTCATATAATATATACAGGCAAGTTAGACGAATGGTCTCTATATATTTATAATATATACATATGTACATACACAAATTCATACAAACACAAATTTATAAATAGAATACAAATTCATAAATAGAATACAAATCAAAACATTTAATTGTATATAATTACTTGTCTTTTATTCTTGGAGGAAACCTTATTAATTGTTAAGAAAGAGTCCAAAAGCAGAGGATGACATCTATAATGAATTTCAGTTATTGCTAGGTTAGTAAGGTATACGGTAATAGTAAGGTTTTAGCAAAGAAAAATGCACGCGTTTGGGAAGCAGGAACCAAACAACTATGCAAAGAGACCTGGATTATCGCATCAATTGTGTTAGGTTTGTCAATGTTCGAGTTTAAGTAGTTTTGCTGTTAAACTCGCCCATTTAATACATTATCTAAAATGTTCTCTGTTTTTGGAGGCAAATGTATAAACACAGCTTTATTCCCAAATTCCAGGTAACATGGTGTAATTAAATAATGTGATCATTTTAGGGGTAAAATATTTCTTTAATACTTTGAGTTTATTTGTCTGTAATAGATATTTTACAAGTTGGTTTCCATGATATTTTCCTTGGTGCTAATAGCTTCACATTTTTCTACACATAATTTGTTAATCAAGCAGCAACAAAGTCTATTTTCTCTTCCACTTTCTGTTTATAAGGTTTGCGTGGCACTCCTTTCTTGCTCTATTCATACATGGTGCTGATCAGTGCTTATACAAAACTTAATACCCAGTTCTTCTTCTGCTGTCAGAAACCAAAAACACAAGAATGTTTCTGGGAAAGAATTACCAACCCTATGTTTATAACTACTAATGGAAAAGTTCTCATGAACAAGAATCACTTTTCTGTTGTATCCATCAGTAATCGAGTGGCAGAAATGAACGGTTATTTATATGAAAATGTCACGGATTATTAATTTAAGGTCAGTTTGACTTTTCTTTTGGCTCAATGCTGTGCTAAATGTTTAGAAAAAGCTCAAACAAAAGCTGATTGAGACGTTCTAACCCCGCTAATACTTCTGTAATCACGTCTGAAAAGTTATGATTAGAGACACGCACTTTTAATAAGAAATATCAGCATGTCTAGCTTGCCAAACAAAAGCAAAGAGAAACAAATGTATGATTTGCCCAAAGCCTTTCTGGCTGTCACATAACATGTTTCTCTCCACCACACACACCACATAATGTAATCACTTGACCAAGGCATTTCTCTTGGACACATATCTTTTACCACTTTATTATTTCACATTTTCAGTGAATATCTTTTAGGCTGATATTTTACTGGAAGCCTTACTGGACTCATTGCTAAAATAACACCACTTCCCTTACTTGTTGGAAGAACCAGATAATAAAAAAATTGCATCAGACAGAGCTGCCAACGCTCATAGCCGTGAAGATCTTTTGGTTAAAATGTCATGCCGAAAATCTCCCCTGGCCGCCGCTCAGTTTTCCTTCTGCAGCCGACCCAAGCTGAAACCAAACACCAGGAGGTTAGAAATGGCACGATATCACGGCACACTTGCCCATGTTAGTTGCGCTAAGATGTCGAGCCATACATCATATAATGGCAATACTTCACAGCGACTTGGTCACATTCCTTAAAACTGAAGTAATTCGACCTGCTGCTGCACCAAAGCGCTGACAGAAGGAGATCTGACAGGAGATCAGTCCTGAGATGTGTGTCCACGTGTGCAAATTGTTTCCTCATCTTCCATTTCCTGCAATATCTTGCTGTGTGAAGTTCTCTCTCACACACACACACACACACACACACACACACCACACACACACCCACCACACACAAACCCCCCTGACAGTGCAATTTGTCCTTATCAAAGCTCACGATCAGGTGGTAAACAGTTTATCTCCCCCCCTCTCAAAGGCCCCAGATGTGACGGAAATGAAAGTTAACGTCCGAAAAGCCTCCGCTGAGCGTCTGGCTCCATGATTGATCGGAGCAATTCCACAGCCTTCTAGGAGCTGTCATTTTGCTTCAAATCAGGCCTTGTTCACTTATTTGATCTCCATCTCCCGTGATTTTATATAACCGCCATCTTCTCTTCCTCCAGAACTCCAATTTATCTCACCATGACTCACTAGGAGCCTTCAAACCTTTGTCTTTTTCTTTTACCGCAGAGTCCCTGATGTGTGCCCTCCTCCGTGTTTTAGGGTCAAGAAAGAGGTCAGAGGTGCGGTGCGGCTGAGCAATAAAGTACAGGTGTTTTTCTAAAAGGCGAGACAGGAGTGGGGGCCGCGCAGGCTCTGAGATGACAAACAGGCCGTGTCTGTTTCTAATGAGACGTGTTCTGTGGACGGGTGTCTATACACACTCAGTGGAGTATATGAGGAGGTGTAACTGCCTCCATCACCACCCACACACAGAAAGCTGCAGGGTGCCAGCTCTCCCGTTCAAATGCCCAGGAACCAGCCTCTCCACGGGCCCTTTACAGTGTCACGAGCATTAGCAGTCAGCAAAATGAAAGAAACATGGCAATCCCCACATGGCCTGGCTGCAGTATATGAGCTCCTCAAAAGTACAAGGTTTTTATGTGGGTCCAAGCCGTACAGCTGTTATCCGTTTGACCACAAGGAGCATTGGTAAAAGGCATTAAAAAAACGAGGCCAAGGTCCATTTGAAGCAGCACGGGCCAACATAAACCACATTGGCAGTTTGTCATATTATGTCGAATATCTTTTTAAAGCAGGGCATGAGGATCTACTGTAGAAAACACTGCGAACAGAAAGTGTTACACAACCTAACCTTAGGGTCATTTTAGGTTAGGAATATGGTACCTGGCCTATAGCAGCATAAACATTTTTCTTTTTGCCCATAAAATGCACAATTTTGAAATTTGTATTTTCACAGTTAAAAAGCCACGAAACATATCTTACTGATACAAATATCCAACAAAGGGCACCAATAACACCCCTATTGGAATGTGCAATGCTACTGTCAATAACAGCAGACAAAAAGCAGTCCTCAACAGTGCTTTATCCCATATGCACGCACAGGCACAGAGCAACGCAAATCAGTTAAACTGAGCCTGTCAAAGGACTACAAATCCCTACGCACTGCCTGTCACGTCTAGCAGTCGCAAAGGCTTGAAAAGTCATCAACCTCTGAGGACGCTTTTTACTGCTTCTAAACTGGCCCGAGCCCCTGCACATAAAAACTTCAGAAAAGCAGTTCAAGGAGGAGATCTGGGGGGTGGAGATTGACACCAGCACCCCCGTCCTCATCCTGCCTCTTACAGCCCGTTCAGATCTGGCACTTGCTGGCTGTTTACAGAACAATGTGCACGGACAATAAACAACGATGTCTTAACAGCCTATGATTGTTTAGACGGCAAGTGAGAACTCCTAACATTACTCACATCTTGTTCGTAGTCAGAGGATTGAGTTGATAGCTTGTGCTGTTCCTCATCATGTCTCTGCAGGCATGACAGACCGACTACAGACTTCTATCAGATGAAATAACGGGGGGGTTAGTCCCACATGGGCTTTGGACAAATTATTTAACAGAAAAGGAGAGGGGAACAAACTACAGGAATGACAGATTAGTAGTTCATCAAATGCCAGAAAATTGATATGTTTATCAGTGTTTCCAAGAGAAGTAAAGAAACCAGAAAGTATTCACACTTAGTAAGCTCAAATCTGTTAACACAATGTACTCTGAGATTAGTACCTGTTAACAGCTCTTGTGGATGAGATTATGTGGTTGACACAGAGCATCAGACACACAGCAGGGGGACTCTTGTTGATTTGACCTCTGACATCCTGCCATATGCAGATGTGTATTCCCTTTAAGTCAGACAGGAACTCTTACCAAGTGCCATCAAAGCTTGACTTTCCTAAAAGCTTGAGTTTTGCACGGACGCTGAAGCATCAGATTTACGTCTCTGTGCACAGCTTCAAACGGAGCGCAGGCACTCTGACACCTGTGGACCGCTTGGCCTTGCCGGAAAAAAGGCAAACGTGTTTCTGAAGATCTGAACCGCCGTTAATCCCCTTCCCACCCCGCAGCCAGACACACACGATCACTCCTGGGTCAGTTTCAGCCATTTAAACCCTCCCTTTGCCCAGTCAACAGGTGGTAGGGTCTTTAGCCTCTCCTCTGTTGTAGCAGCGAAAAATGTTCCGGCACAAATAAACACATTCACAGTTCCATCCAGTGGTGGGAAGAAAAAGCGTGACATGTTAGCAGCTGCCTTCCTCTGGCAAGCCCTGTAACAAACTGTTGGGTTACAGGGTTTTTCCCCAAAGTGTAATTTTGGCCTTTCTTGTCTTTTTCTTGATACGTTTGGACAATTAAAGCTATCGTGTTACGTTTGAGTCACTCTCTTCATTCATTTTGCACTAGCCTGCGCCTGTTTTCCAAACACTCACATTGCAAACAAGGCAGAATGTTCCCCTTTAATTTCCTGCTTTGTTTTATTTCTGGCAGCACGTCGGTAGATAAGATATGAGAGGATACCTTTCTGTACTCGGACTTGTTTTGTTTTGCACAGAAAGTGTCACATTCGAAGTGAAACTAATCAGTCACACCCCTGCAGACCACTCAGCGAGATGTAAAAGTCTTACATTTGTTTTGATATGTCACTGATGTGTTTGTCTGGCTGGACTGCTGTGAAATGTTAAGTATGCGTTTATTACTCAAAGAACAAATGTGTGTTTTATTTAGTGGAGTCGGAGTAGACACAGTTTGGTTAGAGTCACTGTTGTTTACGCTGCTCAGCACACCAGAGGCTCTGTTTGGACTACACTGACACGCTGTCTCTATCCCCGTTCCTCTCAGATCCTCCACTTCACATTTCACTCTCCAATGTGTTGCTTCATCCCATCTATCATCTAGTAAAGCTCTCTTAGGCTTCACCAACACGCCAGCTCTTTTATTTAACACCTCTTTAAATAAAAAAAACCTCACCTTGCTCAAGGGGAATTTAATAAATTGGCCAGAACCAGCAAAAGTCATAAAATGAGAGGTGACCGGAGCATTTTTTGTTGCTGTTGGCTTTCGCTGGGCATCGACTGAACTTTTGGGAAGTGATGAACGGCAGCATGTGTCACCTGGCGGAACCAGACAGCGGTTAGGGAGCGGAAATGAGCAGAGAGGAGAGAGGAGGGCACAGTGATCTCCTCTCAGTCTCCTGACAATTTCAAACACGCTTTTTTTTTAATGAATTTCTGTTTTCGCATAAACAAACAAATGTTCACAGTTTCAAGGAACCCAAAGCATCGAAGCAGACGCTGAAGCCCTGAACCAAACATTTAGCCATACCGCTTATCTGTTGTCTGCTGCAAAATCAATAGACAACATTTAAAGCAATGCTTCAAACACCGGTCATAAAAGTGAGTCATTTTCCGTGGGCGCAGCCGGCAAGACGTGCAACCAGACCACCGGCCAGTGCCCCTGCAAGGACGGCGTCACCGGCATCACCTGCAACCGCTGCGCCAAGGGCTACCAGCAGAGCCGCTCGCCTGTGGCCCCCTGCATCAGTGAGTGACTCACACACACGCACACGCACATGCACACGCACACACACATACTGCATTCAGCTTCATCATTTAGTCATCCTGGCAGTGAGTCAATGCATAAAACTGCAAAACACTGGCACACCCCTTTTTAAAGAACATAACAGAAGAGGCATAATGGATTGTTACAAAAGAGTAGAGAAATACGCACAAAGCAGAACATACTCAAAGCAGTAAGATTACAGATCATAATTGAAAGCACACGTCCCTGTAGCCGAAAGTCATTCTGGCTTCATGAAAGGCACACCCAACCCACACAATCCCTGTATATACAGTACACTGTGGGTTAGCATAGCCACTGAAATGCTCTAATGTCATTTAGAGCAGCCCAAAACATGTGTGCAACGGGCCTAGAGACAAAGTCAGATCTGTGTGGAGAGCTGGTAGTGTGAGAACTCATGAGTTGGTCATTGCTGTTTCACTTGCTGTCGATGATATAGTGTGTATAGTTTGCATGTCAACTACATCAGCTTTTTAATTTCCTGTGACAAACGCGAATGTGTGCGTGTGGGGGTTATGAAATTTGCCAGTGGCCCGGCACATGCGGGCATGTGTAATCGAGGGCAACTTTCCACCACACTGTGTGCCAGGCGGTACGGGCACAGGCTGCACACACTCACAAGAAAAAGCTCCACCAAAGCAAAGCGCCGCACCAATCTCCGCCACACTGTGCCACATGCTGCCGTGCTGCTTCTCTCACATGCCGCTCCAGAGCAGATGGCGGACGGGCGAGAAGACGAAAACAACTGTGGTCATGCATGGCAGACCCCACTCAGCTGAGTGCCACTGAACCATCCCAGTGAGAACAAGAAGAATTGTGTATGTGCGTTTTAAGTACATGCGCACATTTGAATCCATTACGAATAGAGTTAATGACAACTGTGTGTGTCAATATGGCGTCACGGTGGGCAATCTTACTTCCTTTGAGGCTCCCGGACCCCAAGACAGAAGACAAGCCCATTAAGCAGCCAATTAGTATGATGGCAGCAACCCTCATCTGAATGATCCTTTCATCATCTGTCTGTCTTCACAAGATGTGGCCATGGGGGCACGCGGACTCAAAGTGGCTTCTAGCAGCTGCGCCTGCCTTCACAAAGCTCTGTGCCCTTGTTTGTTTTTGTTGGCGGGGTGTCCATAATTTCAGCGAGACAACTGCTGCTTTTCCCTCAAAACAGCTTTCCAACAAACCCCCCCCTCCTCCTGCCAACACACTCCCACTCGCTTGGTTCAAACCTTCAACCTCCAAATCCAATCAAAAGCAGATCCTCTGGGTGGACGCTAAGCCGGCGTTCCAGTAACTCTGTTTACGGTAAAAGCAGAGGGCCCGTTGTTAGCATTAGCATTTGTATTGGAAAGTTGCATACGATTAAAATTGAAGTCCTGGAGGAATTCCACAAGGCACTTCTGAGAGGAGCCAGCGGGCACAGCGAGGGCGGGCTGCATCTGTCTCAAGACGATCCAACCAAAATTGCCCCCTTGCCATCCGTCCATCTGTCTTGTATGGAGATTACATAGCTGTGTTAACCCCACATCTGTTAGGGGAGGACGAGACTAATCTAGTGCAGCCACCTTTCTATTTCAACCTCAAAGAATCAACCCCTGCCTCAGATGTGTGCCGACTTTGAATGGATTGACTTCTCCAAACTGGATTACTGGGAGAATTTGTGATGCATCCTCTGAGTTTGGCTCTTAAACTTACATTTGCTCCTCTGATCTCCATTAGTTCTTCCACTTTCTCAGGATTTTCAAACATATTCTTTAAAAATGACATGTGGAATGCATGGTTTATTTAAGCCTGTTTTCCCTCTCACCACCAATAAGTATCCCCGTCAGTCTGCCAGTGTTTATCTGGCATGTCTATCTGCACTGTCCCGTGTGTTTTCATGCATGTAGTTGTCACAATACAAACCTACTGTATGACAACCTCGGTATTTAGTCCTGTTGACCTTGGTGAACTCATACACCTTTTACTTCTTCTCAACACTATTTCTCCCTATTTTGTGGGCTTATTGTATTTCTTTCATGCCAACACTTCGGAGCAACTTGTTAATGATTTCAGTTTGACTTCTTTAATCACACATGCACTTTAAAGCAGGCATTGAGCAGAATCTAAACGACCCTACTTGAAAGGCATGAATGTACATTTAAGCAGCAAAATAACTTTGTGTTTCTTTTGTGTGTGTGTTTCAGAAATCCCGGTGGTCAACCCCACAGTTGTGGTGAGCAGCACAGAGGAACCAGCAGGTTAGTATTCGCTCTCTGCACCTCGCCCATGTGCACCACTGCTTTATGAGAGGAACAAAAACATCTTTTTTTTATATTTCTGGAACCGAGTTTTAAGGTGTGGAATAAATATTAATGAAGGGTGGTCTCTGCTTTTGAAGTTCGGCAAAGAGAACGAGTGCACTGGGACCTGCAGACTTTTTCCATTGTCTTAAAATCCTGTGTCCTTGGCACAGTTTCCCCCAAAACCGCTAACCTCAAGTTAGTGGAGCCTCGCTGTGCTCTCTCTGTAACTGCAGCTAAAAGCCAAGGCCGCTAGATAGGCAGCAGAGGTGATTAGTTAAAGTTTAGCTGGGAGATATATTGGAAGGGTGCTGGGAATTTGAGTCTCTCCCTTGAACTATTTGCGCTCCGGTCAATTACCCTGCCCTTATTTTTCCTTCTGTGGCTGTTTGATTTGAAGGGTGGTGTTGATTTGGAAATGTTGATTCATTAGTGAGATAATAAAATATATCATCACTCAGGCTGTAGACAAACACAACACACACACACACACACACACACACACACACACACACACACACACACACTTTACAGCATCAGCATGTAATTTTATTATTCTTGTATCCTCTCTCTTCTCAAAAGTTTATTTTGTCAGTAGATCTCTGCTCATAACACTCTTAACTTCCTACATTTCATATACAGTTTGAGTTATAGGGTAATGAGGTCTATAATGGCTGATACAAACTTAAATTTACTGGAAAATATTGAAGTTGAATGGCAAACTTGGTCACAGTCGCTGCACATTACATAGGCCTATATATAAAGAGAAAACCCTATTAAATTGATATATACTGAACACTAGTTGGACAGTCCAGAAAATATGCCTATTTTACTACTGCCAAGAGTTGAATGTGAGTATTTTTACCCTTCTCATGTGCATAAATAAATATAATAAATTGGCTTGTTTAAATGAGCTGAATCAGTTAAACACAAAGACTGGAAACAGGAAAAACCCAGGAGGAGAACCTTGATAGGCGAGCAGTTACAGCACATGCAATACAACTACAGCGTTTAATAATACTATATTTCAATAATAACTTTTTATATAATATTTTCAGATTTTTTTTTATCAGCGTCAACCCTACGAACTTATACCATTTTGATGGTAATAGGCCTAGTACAATGTGACCTCACAAAATGCATTTTTGGCCATAACTGAAGAATTGACATGCTAAAAATGACTATTTTACCTACACATCTAATAGGACAGATTATGAAGCGATAACACACATCAATGTAAGCTGCACTACTGTGTGTCAGAGGCATACTGTGAGGAAGTAATTCTAGTTTTTTATTTTAGACTTCTCACATTCTGTTTCCGCTCATTGTTTGGGCCTTTGAACTTTTTCAGAAAAACATACACATTCTTTTCTTGTGTGTACTTCTTCCCTGGGAAAATGTTTCAGGGTCCTGAAACACAAGAGTTCTTGATCACCAATTCACCTCAGGTGCCACCAAACACCCCGGAGCATTTCCCCCAATCCTTGTCCAAACCCAAGGCCCCAAAAAAGTTTTTGTGTTAGGGGCGGTGGGTGCAATTTGTCCTTGTCATGGCACAGTGAGAGGGGCTGAAGGGAACGAGGGCATCGAGAGCCCCACAGCCAATAGTGAGTGTTTTCAGTGGGCCGGTCTTCTGGGTCAGCGGGCGATTCACCGAGTGCTTTTCCAGGTGAACAGCCAGCAGTAAGTGGCTCTTCATTCACGGGAAAACACACACTGTCTCCCAGCCACTGATACCTTCAGGCAAGCCACTGTATAACATTGGCGGTGCACTAATGAAATCCATGCACAACTCATACAAATGCATGCCTGTCACAGTTGCATGCACACTTACATGATAATGATCTGCACATGAAACCACACGCTCACTTATAATGAAAAAGACCCTAAGCATGCTATGATATTTAACATCATCTATTTAAAGTATGTGAGCATCACAAATCCATCCACACCTACACCTCTGAACCCGTCCACTCTACACCTCCAATCATCGTTTTTTTTTTTTAAAGCCACCCTGTTTCGGAGTTATTGGAAGCTGCCATCTGCTCTCTCTTTCTCCCTTTCCTTCCTTGTCTCTCCTCTCTCTCTGGCTAATAAAATCTCCAGCACTCTGATATACAGCCAAGCCTCCTGGACATTTTTATGGGCTCCTTGGTCCCCTGTTTCTTTCTCCTGCTGCACTCCTTCCATTGCTCCATCCGTCCTTCCCCCCCCAGAAAATGAACGATGAAACACCCCGACTCTCATGCAACCCCAAAAATGTAATTCCTCTTTCTCACGGCTGCTTTTTTTTTCTAATTGGGGCATTTCACTTTAAGCTATTTTATTTGGTTTGCTTTGGGAAGCAACATGACTGAATGGTTTTCCTCTTGAAGGCAATGAGCGGCCTGACCGCAGATACCAGTCCAGCATGTGGTTTTTCAGTTGTATGCCCCCACATTCCCAGCCAGCAGAATGGTCAGGTTTTTTGTACCCCTTAATCTGACAAAAACCATGTTGACTATCTTGGCAATTGTGTTAATATTTGTGTGTCCTCCTCATAGTTTTGCAATTGAAATAAGTGGGTCTAATGTTCTACGGTTCATAAAACCTAATGTCATGTGCAGTAGAGCCTGGCTAATGATTAAAAGGGTCCATTTATTTTTCTTGTCACATCTCCAGTAGCAGTAGTTACCATGAGCACAATTTAAAAACACTTGTTATTGATTCTAACAATAACATCTGCTTTTTAAAGTTCATTAAGTTTGGCCTGTCTTATTAGTTCTGCATGCTCTTTGCTTTAAGCTCATGGAAAATGCATTTCGAGATCACAGAGAAGCAAAGCTTGACGATGACAAAATTAATATTTCAAGATTGCTTGAAAAAAACATGGGAAAAGATGCATGCATATGATCTTTCCAACTAAACCTTTCTCCAACTTTCTTGGTCTAAAGGAAAGGTTGTCATTTGTTATTCAGGTAGAAAGTAAACTTCGGCCAACTTGTAAAATAATGTGAAGTAGTAGCTTCCTGACCTTGGCTTGCCTGAAAAATCTGAGCGTTACTGTTTCCACTGCAGTTTCCATATTCACGTGACGGTTTAAAGAAGTTTCAACCTCAAAAAGATGCTTGACAACCAAACCAAGGCTGTTTTAAGACAGTCAAGAAAAAGATCGGAGATAGTTCCCTGAGCCAAGAGGTCTATTTTAACTGTCACGATGGTAATTACAACACCTCATCACGGCGGCTCCTCCCTGATTGGTCAGTGGAGGTCATCTGTCCGGTGTGTGGTCTCTGTCGTCACGCTGGCAGCCAAGGTCTATTCACATGCATCCAACCATGACCTCCCTCCACCACGCTCTGTCTTTTCTCAGACCCCCGAAAACCTGTCAAACCGAACACTTTACTACTCTGGTGTGTTTCTCAACTTGTGTCCCGGCACCGGCTGCTGCAGCAGTTTGATGTGTGATTCGTCAGAAGTTTTATTTTAGCACACAACAACCAAATCAAGCTCAACAATATCCAACCTTTAGCCCTGTCAGTGAATATATATTATTGTGAGGGCAAGTGGGGATATAAGCGTGCTCGAGTCAAGTAGACATTTAATCCAAAAAGTAGCTTTTTTACATCCGGTGCAAATGATTTTGTGTTTTCATAGTAATAATGCATTCTAAGTTTCTTACTATGTTAACTGTGTACAGAATGCCACTGTACATTTTCAATGCATTTGCGGAACTGTTTATTGTTCTACAATAAATCTAACAGCTGGCCAAAAAAGTTCAGTTCAGAAAATATTGCTTGTGACTCAAATTTTAGACTCAAGGAGATTAAGGCTACGGTTGCATATAATATAATACTGTGCAGAATTTTACGGAATGACAAAGTACTGTAATAAGTGTAATGGTAATATAACAATGGTATGAAATACAGCAATTACTATATCCTTTTTGTTAAAATACTGTTAATTTGACAATAATCTTCTTACAGTGCACATAATGTGTTTATTTCACAAACTTGGCATGTGTCCATGTGAAAGCCACCTGGTGATTTGTTTTGTTATAACTATCGTTTCTTGGTGGTTTCACAGCACGTAACAGTTTACAGTGTTTTTTCAAACTAACTTTACACATGTGCTGATGCTGCTACAAAAGCATCACATAATGCTTTTTGACAGCCAACCTTATGACAACGATTCCAATTTCAAGTGTGTAAGTGTCCCATTATGTGTGTAATTTGAGTGTCAGTAAGTATTCTTACAGCCTGCTAGAGTAAATATGTTTTGTCCTTGTCTTTTTTCAGATTGTGAGTCGTATTGTAAACCAGTGAAGGGCAACCTGAAGATCAACATGAAGAAATATTGCAAAAAGGATTATGGTAAGAACATGTAATTTAACACAGCTTCATAATCAAGAGACATACTGTGTTGGGACTGTTGACCTGAGGGTGTCTTTTATGAATGTGTCCTCAGCGGTGCAGGTGAACGTGCTGGACATGGAGACGGTCGGGGACTGGGCCAAGTTCTCAGTTAACCTGGTGTCTGTGTACAAGAGCCGCGGGGAGCCCCTGAAGCGAGGCGACAACATCCTGTGGGTCCACATGAAGGACCTGGCCTGCAAGTGTCCCAAGATCCAGATGAGCAAACGGTTCTTGGTGATGGGCGGCAGCGACGGCGGGACGGGCACAGGGACGGGTCCCGGGGTCGGGCCCGGGGGCGGGGCCACCAGTCCAGGGGGGGAGCGCATTGGCCTAATGGCTGATAAGAACAGCCTGGTGATCCAGTGGAGGGACGTTTGGACGAGACGCCTGAGGAAGTTCCAGCGCAAAGAGAAGAAGGGGAAGTGCAGCAAAGCGTGATGGGACAGAAGTGTTCATCCCTACCTCCATCACCCACCTTCATGAACCCTTACCCAGCAACTCTGTCTCCTCCCCCGTCTCCCATCATCACGGGAACACTGCACATTAGAAAGACTGCATGTACCCTTCCTGTTTTTAAGGACCACGTTTTGTGTATATTGTATAATTATTTTCCTTTTTATTTTTCAAGGTTTGTCTTTGTTGTGTCTTTGTTTTGTCTAATTGGTTTGCCTTCAAAAGGGACCATTAAAAAGGGTATGAAGTGTAGACAAAAACAGACGCTATTCCCTCCCTCGACGACGACAGCGACACTCGTCCCCCGACGACGACCCTCTGACCCTCAGCCTCCGCTTCCTGTCAAGACCCGACTGTCTCCTGCCACTTTGTTTGACGTATGAAAATACCACATTTCACACTCTGAGGATTTTATCCAACAGTGTTTGTCACTGACTGATCTCAGCAACAAAACAGGCTGCATATCCTCAGCTTGGCCTCCTCACGTTTCATTGTTGGAACAACTCGGATCACTTCGAGCTGGATCACCTGACAACCTTCCAACGTTTTGCTGTTAAAATGTTAGACCTACTTGCTAAAGGTCTCTTCAGTAACTTCTACAGACTGTAACTATGAAACTGTTGTCCCGCGAGGAACCAAGGGCTCCCTTTGCAGGGACGTTTTCCCACAGCAAACCTCAGTCGCACCACCACTGCTGCTGCAACCATACAGCCCTCACAGAACGAACTGCTCGTGTAGGCTCTTGTATCTGCAAGTATTCAACGCCACAGCTCATAGTAGAGTTTATATTCTTCGTGTGGCTACTTGTATCTCATCCATCCATATCACAGCCATATCCTTGTTTGAGATATATCCTTTTGTTTCATTTAAGCAGAACAAACCCTGTTTGCATGTGTGAGTCACATTCCAGGCCTCCGGGGCTGTGCCTCTTCACCACTAGTCCTTCTCATGAGTGGTTTATAAAGTCATGCATCACCATCATGACTCATGGCTTGTCACATTTTTCTGGAAGAAAGATTAAGCGGTGTGGACAAATGGCTGGAATTTCAGAACAATCCCAATATTTCCAAGGAGACTTTTTCTTTGCTTTATGGATAATGTCTTCTGCTCGGTAGTGGCCTTCCAGATGTTGTTGTGTAACCATTGTCATTTATTTGTATTTAAATGTCTGAACATTTGGACTGGCAGGCTCTTGTTTGCCGAAATAAGAGATTGAAACGAGAGTTCCTTTTCATGCAGTAAAAAGAAAACAAAGTTGGATAAACAACATAATCGTGTTTTTCTCTAGTGTATTTTGACAAAATGAATGAGGCTGGAAAGGTTTTAGTGCTCACTGATTGTATTATGACATGTGAGGATCATATTTCATTCCTCATGTGCTTTGTTATGTTTGCATGTTTGTGGTTTTTGCTGGTCCATCAAAACCTTACAGTGAGCCGAGCAAGAACTAAACTAAAAATGAGCATCCAAAGGAAAACTTCCCAAGTCATCTTCCCCCCACTTGCCTACCCTTACACAGTCCCTGTCATCCTTTGCCAAATAAGCGTAGTCAGCTTTTAAATTCAATTAAGAGGCTATAGATGTCAGGACCAACGAAAACCACAGAGAGACCGTCTGAAATAGAGTACAAGATAAACACCGTTTTGAGGGGCACATCAAGCTAGCGTAGCAGTGAGTGTGCGGACAGGCCTGTCATGCTAGCGAGTGGTTACGCTCCTCTGGCTGCGGCCGTATGTTTGGTTTGTGATTCTTCCAAAAGTGTCTCTTCCCTGGGTCAGCCCCAAACTTTTTATTTGCTGTACCGCGCTGTAGCTCTTGTTTTCACGTCTTCCGAGAATGTATGTCAAACTGTGAAGAACACGCTCACTCGGTCTGATTGTGAAGTGTTTATTAAATGTATGTTACCAAGAATGTGGACGCCATGACAGTCAATGCTATTATACACTTTGAACGGGATGTTGCTCAAGGATTGTGGATCTTTATGCTTATCTGTCTGTTTTTATAATGACACATTTCGTCTAATCCAAAAACAAAACCCTTAACCAAAATGAATTATCACCCACGGTGATTGTGTGGTGTGACAAAAAAGCAAAGAACACAAAAAGACAAAAGGTTTGGTAACACTTATCTAAAAACATTATATCCACACTTGCAATGTGTTATATGTTTATACTTTTGGTTATAAGCACTCGTAAAATGGATAATGAGTTAAACAATTACCATCATTTATGACCTAATAAGTCACGTATAATGACTGATATAGTCAACTATCATAATACTTTATAATAGCTGGTCACTCAATGACATTTTTGTATGCATTATCCTAATATATTATAATTCACATGTATGTAATACATACCTTTTGTATGCTTTTTACATGTTATAGGTTACTCTTAAGCTTAACTTAAAGTAAAGATGAAACAAGATAATTAAACATAGACAAGAACAACAAACAACGTTTCTTACATTCATTATATTTATTACCTAAAGCAAATAATGCTGCACCTACAGAAATGTGTTATCTCCTTATATGCATTATATTATTAAGTGTTATGGTGGTTGACATATAGATTATTATAACATGTATATATATATATATTTCTGAGTGCTTAAAACGATAATGAAACAGTGCTATTAGCAGGTTATAAAGCATGTTTTTAATGCATTATAGATGTGGGAGTCATAGAAAGTGTTACCAAAAGCTCTGACAGCACTATGCCCTGGGCACAATTCCCACCGTTAGAATTTTGCAAAAATGCAGAACCAAACAGTCAATTATTTGTGTGTTGGCTGTCCGCAGTGGGCCGTCAGACAGGTGGTGTTACAGTAGCACCAGTCTCCTCGCCCCGGTATGTGAGTTCGGCGTGACACTTTATGATTGATGGTCAGAGTGCGTGCCCAGGAGGCCTCTCTGGCTCTCCAGCGCCCAACACACTTGCAAAGAAACCGCGGTGTCCTCGAATCTGGACTTTCTTTCATGCACAAAATCCTTCTTTCCTTTTTCTATTGGCTCTGTTTTCATTTTCTCAAGTGCCCACCCTGAATGTTGGAAAAGAAGCAAAAGTGAGCCTCGGGGGGTGAAGCGTAGGGAGAGCCGTCCTGTTGTTTCACGTTAACAAGCCCAGCAGCTTGGCAGTGGAACTGAGGCCATAACGGCTTTGCTTTGTGTGCCCCACCTCTTCGCGTGTGTGTGTGTGTGTGTGTGTGTGTGTGTGTGTGTGTGCCTGTTTAATGTTTGACGAGTCTGAACAGCTTATGATGAAGAAATATAATTTACATTTCCCCTGGCCTGATTCCCAATTGTTTTGTTTTGGTTCACTTTCATCATGTCTTGTTTAATGAGTCTTGACACATTTGAAATGTTGTAAATATGTACTGAACTGCCTCTGCCATTCATGTTTGTCTGTTGTTAAAGCGTCACTTGGCCCCGGATGACTCACTGTATGGATGTACAAACCAGATGATGTTATATGGATGTGGAAACCAGAAACATATGCTTTTGTGACCACGGCCGGAAGATGTGGTTTGGATATTACACAGAATGTATTATTTTTATGGTTTTATGTTGTTTCCAGACAACAACTGCCCTATCGCTAATGACTTTGCGGAGAACTTAGTGCAAATGTGACGCGGGTTAATCCAACCCTCTGCTTTTCCCATAGAGTCACGGACAGGATCTGACACAACAACCACTTTCATTAATCTCCCGGGAATATTGCTTCACTCACACATAAATCGTCCACCTATCACTCTTTGGGAACAAAGGGATTCTTCCCTCATATCAAAGTCTTCCTTGTACATTTTTCCTCTGAGGCAATGAACCACTGACTTTTTAATCTAAATGATACAAAAATAAATTATTAGTTAATGAGCTGTGTGTTGTGTTGATCATCTGTCTCTATAATTGCAGTCATTAGACTGAGCTGTGGAAATAATGTCAGATTGATGTGTGTGTGTTTCCCATTGGAAAGTATGTTCGCATACAAGTGGGCATGCTTCAGTGTGTTTCCACTCACAGGGGGGAGCTGAGGTCTGGAGGGGGAGAGGACCAGGGAGAGCGGCTCCCCTACAGTAACAGAGCAAGGGCCAAGCTCTGTAAATAAACAGCGTGTACCTCGCCTCTGAGGGAAACCCAACTCCAGAGTCAGGTCCAAAGCAGGAAACTCCTTCCTCTCGTTTTCTCCCTCACCTACAGTCTCCTCTCTTCCACCCTCTAACCAAACAGGCCAGCTCCATCCATCCTGCTGAAGGTCATTTACAGGAAAGCGACCATTTATCATCCCTCTCCCCAGGCATGGCCATCAAGGCTTTGAGAATAGAGGTAGCTGAAATGTCAGGACACACACACACACACACACACACACACACACACACACACACACACACACACACACACACACACACACACACACACACACACACACACCCCCCAGAGCATTCATTACATTTCGCTGACGCTTTTATCCAAAGCAACTTACAATTACGATTACAGGGACATTCTCCCTGTAGTAACTAAGGGCTAAGTGTCTTACTCAAGGGCACACTAGTGGTGGTGTTCCTGGGGATTTGAACTCACAACCTTCGATCTTCAGCCCACCTCACTATCCATTAGACCACCACTAGAGCATCGTTCCATTAGCTTGCCTGTCTTTCTTCCTCTGTCTATGTTTTTCTTCCCTTATTGCTTGTGACAAGGCTGGGAAATTGGACAAAGTAAAGAGGCCAATTATGCACTCTGCCCTTCAAGACTTCTCCAACGCAAAGCAAGGTTTCTTTTTCTTTCTTTATTTTATGAAGTTAACCCCCTCACCTGAACCCAGATAAAAACCATGGAAAGTGTAACTACTATATGCAATCATCACCTTCAGCAACGTCTGCATTATCTGACTTATCTTAACTCAAATACTCACCAGAAGATATTTCCATTAATACCTGTCCCTTGAGTTTTCAGATTGTAGGATAAAGAGATATGAAAACTTCTGCCAGCGTTATCAAGTTGCAACCAAACAAATAACTATTTTGTAAATGTAGTTGCCTCTCTTTATCATGCCTGTTTAGCCACGTTTAAGTGAACCTTGGCTGGTCTTTCATCCCCAAAGTCTCTCAATCCAGTAGGTTACTTTCCATCCATTAAGAGGCGTTTTCCCACACTCTATGTATTAAAGGATATATTAAACAGCATTTACTTGCTTTACGATTGGAATCACGCCTCTGCACCAGTATATTAATATCAATAACAGGCTTTGAAAACCGTTTTTTCACACCTTTTAAATGTATCCCTTTTGTTTCTCTTTCTGTCCCTGCCAACAACATGGCTTTCTCCCTAATCCAGCTTTTATAAATGTGTAATTGTAGGCTCCACAAAGATTTGAGGAACTTTCCTTGTGATCAGAGAATATCTATAATAACAACAAATGGCAAGAGAGAATCATATTGATTATTGTCGGCTTCCTGTGTGAAATTCAAGTGTGTTTGGAAAACGACTCTGTTTGCAGAGAAAGCTGGGAAAAGCTGCTTCTTAGAAAAGAGCAAAGCGGATCTGGCCAAATACTGTCCATTCTTCCCCCTCCCCATCTTACTGACAATCACACATCCACACCACCCAGCGCCGCGAGGGGGGGGGCTTACCAATCGTGCTTTCATAAGCTGCCAAAGCGGCTTCATTGGCTTTAAATGGAGCCTCATTACCACTGTGCTTCAAAGCTCAACAACGCCATTTTCCAGCATGGGGTTGTTGATTTGTAAAATACATGAAAAAGTTGTTTTTGCATAATAGGTGACCTTTAAAGCGCTACTTCTTTCTCAAAACATTTAATTGTATATCAATTACTTTGTCTNAGAGCCTCAGAATACTGAAATCTGTATTTTTTGTCATATTTTTTTCCTTCTAATTTGTTATTATTTGGTGCAGGCACGAAACATGTAGTTACCAATAGAAATACATTGCTTCTAAAATCGTTCTGTGTCAGAATACTGAAATCTGTATTTTTTTTTATCTGTTTTTCCTTCTAATTTGTTATCATTTACATTGCTTTTAAAAATCGTGCTGTGCAACACGAAAAAAAAGTGGAAAATCGTGATGGTGAACACGAAATGCCGTGAGACTGTGTTGGTTATTGACATATTCCCCAAGTGTGTAGAATGTCATCTTTTTTAAACAAGACAGTATGACAAAAAGGTTTGAGTTTCTTTTATTTTGTGAAAGATGTAGCCCTAGGAGTGAAGTGTTAGCCAAATGATTACAGTTCATGCCAAGTAAAGGCAAGCCCGGTTCATTTCCAGCCATGGGACATTTGTTGCACGTCATACTAATACCTATCGCTCTCTCTCTCTCTCGAACTAACAGTCTGTATCTTCACTGTCCTTTGTCGAAAATAGACATTCAAAGATTGCTCCCTAAATATACATTTTATCTTTCAGGAAAGTAGAATACTTGAAGAATATTGGAAACAGGAAGGAGGTGCAAAAATATAAAGATGCTGACAAGGAATTAATTTCTTCACTGGATAAGTGTGCTGGGGATGGAGCCTTTAACGGGTGGAAACATATGGTGCAACAAAATTGGATACTTAATCCCTTAAGTATCCAATTTTGTTGCACCATATGTTTCC